TGCTCAGATTTGGGTGCACGTTAAAGAACCCCAGGTGGTCTAAATTTCCGGAGCCCTCCACTACGGCGTCTCTCAGAAGCATATAGTGGTTTTGGGACGTTAAACCCCACATATCAATCATGAGCAATCTCTTCCTCTTGAGCTGGTTGTTGTCGCATCAGATGATAGTGCAGTGGTACCCAGATGACATTTTATAAGCAGCCGTAACATGAACAGGCGCTTTTTCGCATTTGAAACTCCCAGAGCCACTGCATTTCTTGCTAGCGAGGTGCGCCTTGGCAGTCGCAAACAAATTATGGCGTCTCTGGGAGCGAGGCTATACCGCCGAAGGTGCCTGGGTTCGAGATAGGCGTGCTCTCGTCTATAGCCTGTTTGGCCGACCCAATCACAGTCAGTTTAGTGGAAACACCCCTCTCGTCAAAGAGGAAGTATTCACAGCTCTCAAATCGATGAAGCATAATCGTAGCCCAGGTTCAGATTGTAACAGTCACGTTTTACGTCAAGTTTTGGAAGGTTTTTTTTTTTTTGGGGGGGGGGGGGGTCTTTTACCACATTGGCAAATAGGCTCCTCCATAAGGGGAGTTTGTCAGCAACTCAAAGGGAGGAGCAGATCACTCTGCTGTGCGAGGATGAGACGAAACGCACTGACCTGGGAGCCTGGCACCCTTCTAAACTGTGACTACAAGCTCACACTAAGTGCCAATCCGTCCGACTCACTGCAGTACTTAGTACTGTTTTGGGTCCGTACCAGGTGTGTTGTGTCCAAGGTCGATCGTGACAACTTCACGGTTTTGCTGTTAGGGATCTTATAGAATGGTTGAATTGACACAAACATTGTGGAATTATTCGCTCTTTTGATCAAGAGAAGGCCTTCGATATTATCAGTCTTAAGTACCTTTTTAAGGTTTTAAAGCAGGCGGTTTTCAGTGCCCAGTTAATTAAAATGATTAGCGCCCCATGTTTTAGGCCTAACTCTGCTGTCCTGATACAGGATCACGTCTCGGAGCCGTTCAATGTGTGCCGTGGAGTGCGGCAGGGAGGTCCACTTTCACTTCCCTCTATATGCTAGCGCTTGAGCCGCTCCTGCAGAGGCTTTTCAGTGGCACCGGCATTGCTAGATTTCCCCTTCCACCAGGTTCTCCCCCGGTAACAATGTTCACTTATGCAGATGACCTCTCCATTGTCGTCCCAGACGAGGCAACTTTTTGCATCGTCTTGGATGTTATGGAGGGGTACTTCTCGGCGAGCGGCGCCAGGATAAATAAGTCGAAGAGCGCAGTCATGTATCTCAACTGCACTCCATCCAGCCCACGTCCCGTACAGGGCCTTCCTTTAAAGGAGCGTCTACGCATATTGGCCTTCGATTTTGAACCGGATGGCCTGTCTACCGAAAACTGATGGTTAGCTAAGGGGAAACTGACCAACAGCATTCGGGAACTCAGTGCCTTGTCTTGCCCACTTACAGCTGGGGTCGCAATAATTAAATCGTTGTTGTTTAGTTTTCTTACGTATGTAGGTTCAGTTATGCCGGTTTACCCCCGAACCAGGCTTCTCTTGGAGGGTACCATTTTCCGTGTTCTTTGGAGTGGCTCAACTGCGTACTTGTCGCACCCCGTGCTCAAGTTGCACGGGGATGAATGAGGACTGGGTATTCCCCAGGCCTGGGCGTCGTGGCCACGGCGCTACACGTTAGATGGACACGGGTAGTTTTCGATCCTCACTCGAAGCTTTGCGTTGTATTTTTCATGTGCGCGGCTGAGGCTGTTCTCGCCTGAGGCATTTTAGAATTTGGTGCCTCGTGTGGGAAGGCATTCTGCCTTCTATGCAGGGGCCACTTATACTTTGGCCCGTCTCCAAGAAGTCAACCTTGAGATAGATTTATCTTTGATCGAACTCCACGAGTTAGTCGATAGACTAACCCAAGAGTTACCTGCGCACTGTGAGAAGTTTGACCTGTCCCACCACAGTCCTTACTGGAAATTCATTACTGCCAGTTTCCTGAACGCCAAGCGCGCTACATTTATGTACTGCCTTTCCAGAGCGTGCCCGCTCATAACTTTCAGGCTCTTCACGAAAATACCTACATGAGGAATGTGCCCGTTATGTGGCAGTAGGGAGTACCTGATTCAAATTTTCTCTCAGTGTGCGCTACCAGCTACCCTCCATCGATGGATAGCTAGCTTGTTTGGCCCCCGGGTGCTCCTTTCAACACCGTTCGTTTTCTGCATCCCCTGTCGGGACGAGCGGTTAAGCAGTACACGCTTCTGCTTGTCGAGTGTTCCTACCAAGTGGGGGTGGCACGATCACCAGCATCGTGAGCACCAGCGCTTCATATCTAATTATCGCTTCTGGTGTTGCCAATATCCACGTTGCTGTCGGTAACATTACTCAATTTGAACAACTGGTTATATATAACATATGCGGCTGTTTAACCCATGTCTGTGCGTGTAACTGTACATATCATTAGCGCCAGTTTGTAATGTACAGCTCAATAAAATATTACAAGACAGTCACCTTCCTCCGCAGGCTTCAAATAACCTAATTTCCCAAGGTACGTGGGATCTGCCATTTTTATTCAGGTGACTTCTCAATTTCACGTTTCATTGTTGCCTGGATACATGGAAGAAGGAAAGGTAGGAGAGGCCCTGACTTCACTCGTTGTGAAGCCACGATGAAGCCGGAAGTCGGCCATATTGACTGGGCAAATTATCCTCTCTTGTTTACATATGAAAGCGAAGCAGAAGGCGTGACTCCCCCTCTGTCTCAAAAAGCACGAGGCCTGCGCGCCGCGTGCGCCGGTGCTATCCGAAACCAACGGAACGGATTTCAACACGCTGTCCTGCCGCGATACGGTTTACGAAATCTCTGCGTATGGGTATTGTACTCTCACACTGCCGACGTTTAAGATAAACACGGCAAGTTGCGTGTTAAGCTTTTTTTTATTTGATGTGTTCTTTGTGAAAATAAAGATGACATTTCGGACATTGTCGCGCGATGAACCAGGCACCGAAACTTGCACAGCTTCTTTCAGATCACTTTTCCCCCCTTTTGTGCTTCTTTTTAGGCTTTATAAAATTTCGACCAGGCTGTGGGCTAGACACAACGATAATAAAAATGTGTTCCCTGCAATAAACCTGGATGTCCGTAATTATGCCAGTAAAGTCGGCGTTGGCGGAGCTTGCATGTGTGGCAGCCCGTTCAGTTTGCGCCGGCCTCTTTGTTTTCGCCCCTCTTTTGTCCGACTCGCACTGGTTCCTACGTCTATCCCAAAGGCCATGATTTCATTAGGACGAAAGCAGCGAAGACCACCCGAAAGTGCGTGGAAAGACGTCTCCAGTATGATTCACGCGCACTAGTAGCTACGGAGAATGGAGACCAGGATCGCGTTATAGGGCGAAAAGTGGGAAAGTTAGCCGAAGGAATGCGTGAGTAAAGGTCTGCGGGAAGCTTCACGCGCCGACACAGCCGCCAAAGACTGCAGGGAAAGCCAGCCAAATGCGAGGGAAGATGTCTCCGGGATAAGTTCCGGGACAGATTTTTTTTATTGCTGTAGCCACAAATATTTGCGGTGAAATATTTCTGTGCGTCATTGAATTGTACATATACTGCTCCTTGTGTACTTCACAATTTTACCCCATACTTGCTATTGTCGTAAGTGTCATTCTATTTCGTTCTGTTTGAGTTCTCAAATCACTTGGTCAACATCGTTCGAACGGCTTTGTCAGCTTCTGAATGCACAAGCACACGCATCTAGGAGGTGCATCTGTTTACCTTGTGCAGGTGCGTGTAGAAATTTTAACGAGTTTTGCTACAATATAGACAATATTGCGGAGAGCGAGACATTGTTGCGAAGAGCGAGCATCTTAAGCGAAGCAGAACAGGAACTTTAATGCGCAGAAGCATGTGGTAACTGTACACGAACACGAAAAGCAAGATTAGATTACAGTCTTATGCACCATCAATAGGTGAACAACAAGTGCACCGTCCGTTGTCATAAGTAGCAACACCGCATAACTGTCAATTACCTGCAAGGCATTTATTGAACGAATTCTTGAGCACAGTCGTTATCTTTTATGATGGCTTTTCAGCATAATTTTGACGGATGCTGCATATTCGGAGTATGTATACGCGCGCTCGTTTCGTGGTTTCTAGTTCAGACACCTGGTTACAACCACCACCGGAAGAAAATCGCGTAGCTAACAATGCGGCACAAAGAATGGATGCTGTCGAACACCTGTAGTACGCCACGGTTAGGTGCGAGGCCCATGAAAACGCGCACACCGCCGCAGGACCGCCTGAACGGTTCCGCACCGCACTACATCAATAATAACAAAACGCCGCCATTGTGCCCAGTGAATATGGCCGCTGTGACGTAATTTCCACCACATTTTTTACGCCCTGCACCGGCTGGCTATGCCCTCTCCTACCTTTCCTTTCTTCGTGCCTGGATATGAACGCGTGATTTTCATTGTTGCCTGCAGCAACTGAGGTGTGGCGCTGCCAAGCGCATGGACGAAGGTATACAGCATCCGACACGAAAGAAAAAAAAAACAGGGCGAAATATGGCGCAATGATAAAGAGAGAGAGAGGAGGAAAGATAGAAAGGGAGAAGGATTGAATAGTACGTGAAGCTTCACATGGTTCTATTTTGCCGATAAGACAAGGGCCTCAGAGAAGAAGTGAGAGAAAGGCAGATTGATTGATTGATTTGTGGGGTTTAACGTCCCAAAACCACGCCATTATTATGAGAGACGCCGTAGTGGAGGGCTCCGGAAATTTCGACCACCTGGGGTTCTTTAACGTGCACCCAAATAGAGAAAGGCAGAGAGGTCAACCAAAAAGCCTCTCTGCATTTCAAGGACCTTTGAAGTTTTACTTATCATGGACCTCCGACATAACGGAGCTGTAAGTACAATTCGCATTCAATCGTGCTACCTTTCTGGGCAATCGTGCAGAAAATATTACTGCGTTTTGTGTTGTGACAAAGACAGTGCACGAAATGTTTGGGGAGAGCAGACGTGGTGACAAATTTTATTCCCAAGACACTCGTGTGCCAACAAGTCGAAGAATGAAGGTTTCTTCTATATGTTTTGCTAACTGGTGCGCTGCTTGATGATGTATTCATGGACGTCTAACAAACTTCGAGGCATGCGAATGGTCCAAATGACAACACCTTGTGCCTCAGCATAGTGTCATTTTAGGGGGACTGTGCGACCCAATGCCTCTCAGCGAAGCAATTTAGTACCGTAGAACCACTTCTAGCTAAAAGAAGGTAAAATCCCGTAGAGCCGATTTTGGAGTCCAAAATTTCATACGCTCATCAAGCACGACACTAAGTTCTCGTGAGGCACAGTGATTTCGCAAGCACCGAGGAAGGGAATTAAACAACGTCTGCTCGTCCACGGAGTTCCCTAGGCGGTGCGGAGCTTTCGCTTCTTGGGTTCTTCCTCAGCCCGCCGGAGCGTCCTGCGCCGTCCTCCCTGGTCTCCGAGCGCCATCTCCGAGGGGTCCTCGAGGGACGACGATCCTTCAATCGGCTCCAAGAGGCTCAGCTTCAGGTCGGACGACACGAGGTCGGCTACGCTGTAGTTTTCTCGAATGTGGCTGAACACCGTGTGCAGAACTGTCTGGGTCATCAAGCGAATGGTCGACGCACCAACCTGCGAGAGACAAGACAGTACCATCGCTCATGAACGCGCTTCTAGACTGCGATAGCGTTGTATCTCAAGACACTCGCGGGTGTCTCGATTATCACTCCATAATACCAAAGCGGAAATCATGTTTTACAGGGAAGCTGTATACCCCTCACCCTAAACAGTTCCACCTCCATGGACTGAAAGAAGGGAAGTTTACACTTGTGTGTAAAGCTTATTAACAAACAGCGAAGCCGGTCGATCACTTCACTTCCTTAGCTGATGCTCTTTCATTTGTGTAGACAGTGTAGAGCCTATCGCACACCTGGCAAGAATGTCCAAAACTCCAGCGCCAGAAATCGACAGGAAACCTGGTTGTACTACTCCCGGTAAAAGCGGGGGGGGGGGGGGGGGGAATTTTGTCGCTCGCGGTAAGCTCGCGCCGCGCCGAGCAACCTCAACGCCGCTGACAGTCTCCGCCTGTGAGCGTGGCTTGGCTGCGGCGGCTTCTTGGCGCATGCGTCGCTAGTCGAGCTGAAACCCTGGCGGTGTGCATCTGTGGCTTGATTATTGATAAGCAACGGCGTAGAGGGTTCTTAAGTGGATATCTGACGCAAGGTCTATTTAAATGGGTCGCCAAGGCTCGGGCAAAAAGCGGTTCAGAAGCTGTTGCCAGTGACATCAGCATGGGGAGTTATGGGAGCTGCGATGGAAGTGCTACTATGTGTGGAGGGAACACGCACTAATAGTGAAAAAATCAATTTTGATTCAAAATCGAACCAGTCAGTAGGTTTTACAAATAAGATTTTTTTTCGCCAACAATAATAAGTGCTATGAACAAAGAAATCATGACGGTTTTTATTATTACGAAAAAAAATTTTAGCGACCTCTGCCCACGCTACAGTCAGTGCAGCCCTTGCACTACATGGCAAGGCCCACTCGTAACATTCGTCTGCGATGACACGTGCCCTTAGTCTTGCGCTTGCTTGCGTTCTCTGTTGTGCGCGAAATTGTTAGGTGCGTTTTATCGTTGATGAACATCTGCAGTGCATTGTCCAGTGGGCAGCGGAACGATGCGAGTTACATTTAACGCCGAGTGCTTTTGTCGTTAGCTGTGGAAACTATGTGCCGTGCAACGATGCAGTAGAAAAAAACGTATGCCTGGTGACCCATGTCTGCCAGATAACAAACAAGGACAGTGGTTCGGAATGCACTGCTCGCTGCACTTTCAATCATCAGTATTCCTGCAGCCTGGTTTCCTTCTTGAGCATGCAGTGCCTACTATTCGCATTATCGGTGAGCAGAGTGCCAAGTTATATATCATGGTACAATTCACCCGTATTCATTCACATACGTAGCGGTAATTTATCGGAGCATAATGCAAAAAAGAAAAACATAAAGCAAAGAGCGTCCCCAATTTTTCAAATATTGTCATTTTGTGCAGTATAATAAATTGAGTTATTGTAACCATTCAATAAAACCAAAATGTCATTAGTTTGGCGTGACTAGGTCTCATTTCTTCCGCTTAAAACAGAAGATCACAAGAATCGTGCATGCTAAGGAACGTGCGTATGTGTCAAACAAATAAGCTACGCTGCCGATATCACATGTATACGCTGCTACGCTGTTGGTTGCCTTAATCCATCGACGGAAGATGCCACGAATGGCGAATAAAAGTTCGAATAATAAGTTCCTTTGTAAAACCGAGGCAAAGTGAACGATAGCACACTTAAACATTACTATTTAGTAATGAATATGGTGCCTCCAGTCATGAGTCCATATTAGATTAGCTGGCGTTCACTTGAAGTTTACTCATAGATGACTCACCAGCAATCGCCATAGTGCGAGTATTTAGCGAACAGGGGCCCATGAAAAGTAATTCGAGATAAAATTTTGCGCTAGTGCACACAAAATGACGTCACTTGATTACCAGCTATTGCGTCACATCTGCTTTATTTTAAATGCGAAGCATTTATTAGCGAACTTCGGCGACTTCGAGCGTATCTATCTATCTATCTATCTATCTATCTATCTATCTATCTATCTATCTATCTATCTAGCCGCTTAAGACCTTTAGCTCTCCTGGCCGTTTCGATAATGTTAACGATACCAAACTTGGTATGGCATATTGGATTGCAGCTCTTGTGGTGGTTTCGTTCACATGTCATGTTGCAAAACTGGTATGGCATATGGCATGATTGCATGGCGAACACATGCGACCAACCCTGGCATGAAAACCATGACATGCGTGTCATGTAACAACTTAACTACATGTCACGCTTAGCATGCGCCCGCAGCCGTTTCGCTAGCGTCACGTATACCAAATTTGGTATTACAGTACGTTAACGGATGACCAAGGGATGTGACTGGTGCAAACATGATAATCATGAAATGCGTGTCATGTAACAACATGACTTCACGCCACGCTCATGATGCGCTGGCGGTAGATTCGCTAGCTTCACTTATACCGAATCTAGTATTACGGGATGTGAATGGATGACGAAGGTATGATACTGGTGCAAACTTAATAAACATGAGGTGCGAGTCATGTAACAACATGACGACATGCTACGCTCACGATGCGCTCACGGCCGTTTCGCTAGCTTCACATATACCGAACACGGTATTACTTGACGCGAACGAACGACATAGCTAACTGACACATCCAAACATGATAATCGCGACATGCGTGTCGTGTAACAACATGACTACATCCCACACGTATGTGCACTCGCGGCCGTTGCACTAGCTTCACATGTGCCAAATTAAGTATTACGTGATGCCAATGAATGATGAAGGTATGTGACTGGTGCAAATAAGATAATGATGTTACGGGGAATAAAGTATACACTGGTGAACAAATGTGTACTGGCGAATATAATGGCGAGCTAATGCGTACGACGCTGCTGCAGTCCGAGCACGTTCCCGTTCAGCACTTCGTCGTCGTCATCATCAGGCACCTACTTAGCCCGTGACATTACCCGCCGGCGGCAGAAGCACCGTCCCGGTGCGATCAATTCTCGAGGCGTGAGAAGTATGGCTTAAGCCGTGAGACGTGCACTATATCGGTCGGGACTGAAGCTGGTACTGACGTGGTATGGAGTGGAGCTATCTCATAGGTCACGCTGGTGACCTGCGTATGACGCGGTAGGGGCCAACGTAACGGGACATTAGTTTTTCGCTGAGACCAACACGACGTGATGGTAACCACAGCAAGACGAGTGACCCCGGAGAGTACTGTACGTCGCGGTGCCGGCGATCGTAAGCACTCTTTTGGTTAAGCTGCGAGGCACATAAACGATCCCGGGTGACTTGGCGGGCGATGTCAGCTCGGGCCAGGGCATCACGAGCATAAGCAGTCGATGAGGCGGCGTCAGATTGGAGCATAGTGTCCATGGGCAAAGGCGGGTCATAACCAAACAGTAAGTAAAAAGGGGAAAATCCAGCTGTATCATGTCGTGAACTGTTGTATGCGAAGGTAACGAAAGGTAAGTGGATGTCCCAATTTTTGTGATCCTTGGAGACGTACATCGCTAACATATTCGTCAAGGTACGGTTGAGGCGTTCCGTGAGGCCGTTGGTTTGTGGATGGTACGCTGTAGTGAACTTGTGGTGGGTAGAGCAGGATCGCAGGAGCTCGTCGACTACTTTAGATAGAAAACAGCTGCCGCGGTCGGTGATCAACTGACGAGGAGCACCATGACGCAGAATGATGTCATGAAGAAGGAAATCGGATACATCAGTAGCGCAGCTGGTGGGGAGGGCGCGTGTAACGGCATACCGCGTTGCGTAGTCGGTAGCAATAGCAATCCACTTATTACCGGTGGCCGACACGGGAAAGGGTCCTAGAAGATCGAGGCCGACTCGGAAAAATGGCTCATCTGGTACTTCAATGGGCTGGAGGGTACCAGCAGGTCTCTGAGCAGGTGTCTTGCGGCGCTGGCAGAGGTCGCATGCCGCAACGTACTGTCGCACAGAACGGTAGAGGCCAGGCCAAAAGAATCGGCGGCGAATGCGGTCATACGTGCGTGACACCCCTAGGTGTCCAGCGGAGGGGGCATCATGCAGCTGGGCCAAAACGTCTGAGCGAAGATGCACAGGAACAACGAGTAAAAACTCAGCACCATCAGGGCGGGTGTTGTAGCGGTGCAAGATGTCGTTGTGAAGAACGAACAGTTGTAAGGAGTGGTCAGGGTGGGGAGAGTGCAGACCATTGATAATAGCACGCAAAGAGGGGTCGCGGCGTTGTTCAGCAGCTATGTCGGTGAAGTCGGTAATTGAAAGAACGAGGGCCTCTTGCTCATCTTCCCTCGTGTCAGGGGGATCGACTGGGTAACGGGACAAGCAGTCGGCATCCTTGTGAAGTTGTCCGGATTTATAGGATACGGAAAAAGTGTACTCTTGTAAGCGCAGCGCCCAGCGACCAAGGCGTCCCGTAGGGTCCTTGAGTGAGGAGAGCCAGCAAAGCGCATAGTGGTCCGTAATAACTGAGAATGGTCGGCCATACAGGTACGGTCGGAATTTCGCAATGGCCCAGACGAGAGCTAAGCACTCGCGTTCTGTGGTGGAATAATTTTGTTCCGAGCGCGACAACAGTCGGCTTGCATACGCGACGACGCGGTGCATGCCTTGTTGCCGCTGCGCGAGCACTGCGCCTATGCCGTGGCCACTGGCGTCAGTACGAAGCTCCGTGGCGGCAGATGGGTCGAAGTGTGCTAGGACTGGTGGATTGGTGAGAATGTCAACGAGCGACGAGAAGGCGTTTGCTTGCTGTTGGCCCCAGGTGAATGCGACATCCGTTTTGAGGAGGCAGGTTAGAGGACGGGCTACTTCAGCGAACTTCTCGACAAAACGACGGAAATAGGAGCACAGTCCCAGAAAACTTCGGACGTCCTTGGCTGAGCGGGGTGTGGGGAAGTCGCGAACTGCTCGGACTTTCGCAGGGTCTGGTTGAACGCCCGCAGCGTTAACAAGATGGCCGAGTACGCAGATTTGGCGTTGCCCAAAGCGGCATTTGGACGAGTTAA